AACTCTGGCAGGCAGCTAATTCGCTGTAGAGAATCTTCAGGCAGTCCAACATGGCCTGCCAGGTAAGTTGTTCCGGTTTTATACTGCATTCTATCATGATACTCCATATTCGTATTCACTTACTTCGAGGGAAACATCACCAACTTAACCAACGATGAGACACACCAGTAGATGACAACAGCGATCGGCTACGAGCAGCGGATTACAATCCTATCAGTGATCAGCTGTTTCGTATATGGGTCAAGGTCATACCACATCAACAGCAACAGCAGTACAACAGTAGGCAAGGAAAGTGAATCTGGTTGAACAATCCCACTTCCAGCAGGAGAACAATAGTGTAGTTTTATACAATTTTTTTATGTGTCTATTATATAAGGAAGAATTAGCATAGCAAAACAAAATTAACGATTAGGCAGCTAGAAGCTAGAGTAGTGCAATTGAAATCAGAATGTTTCAAGGCGGCCGGCATATGTTCGAGCGAGACAAGTAGAGAAATATCGATGCATGTGCATCCCTAGTAAAGGAACATTTTCTCTCTACTTCTCTCACCGAGCCGAAGTGGTAGTATACTCACACTACCAGTGTCTGATCTCCCTCGATCACCGGTCAGCTGTGTAGTACATAGAGCAGTAGTTTTTAGAATAAAATAAACCGTCGCGCTTTACACATCGTCGGAGCGTGTTTGGTTATCCGCAATAAAGTTTTGCTGTAGTGTTCGCGTTAGAAATAAAATGTTTTAGTTCTCGTCAAAATAAATTATGTTTATGTTGTAATTATGAATATTCTTTGTTGTGTCCGAAAAGTCGGTTTTACGCGCGAACAATATTTTTTACAATCAAATACCTAAACTGCCTATAATCGCATAACAGTCCCATATGGATTTTCATCAATGTTGAGATAATAGCGCTATCTAGCCCATTAACTACGAACAGCCCATTAACAACGTATACGGTTTTTTAGGATTCTTGACCCCCTCCACCCCTGCGTAAACAATTGTCAATACAAAATTTTTAAAATTTGTATGGGCCGTGGATAATTCTCAACCAACCCCCTCCCCCCATAAACTGTCTACGTAGTCGCATCCTGATATTCAATCTTCCTTACTTCTGGTTATAGTTCTGCTTTTCAAATTGCCATATTTTTGCTGATACAACAAAACATGCAGCTGATTATTTCTTGAAAAAATAATCTATAAATTCACTGAGATTTTTCAAATATTTACATGGGAATTGCACTTCGACGGCGGGGTACCGGCACCGGTGGTGTAGTGGTAAGCGTGATTACCTCTCACACCAGCAGCAGGCCTGGGTTCAATCCCAGTGGGCGCCGCCGGGATGTTCTGAGGCATAACATCTCTGATCACGCCTTCCTTCGGGGGGGAAGTAAAGCCGTTGGTTCATGAGTTGATGAGTCGATAGGTAGGGTCCGAGTGTGGGAGCTGCCTCCCTGGCGTCAGTAGCATTGGTGTTCAGCACGGAAAACAAGATCGACGGAAAACAAATCAAGGAAAAAAAAACTTCTACGGCCATTTTCTCAATGCCTACTTTTTTATATGGGACTGATATGCGATGAAAGGCAGTAAAAATATACATGAAAAACAAATTTAACAGCTTACTACCGTAGGTACACCCTTACAATTTCTTAATTGGAATCTACTCCAAAAAGTTTCTTTTAAAAAATCTCTTTCTCTTTCCCTCGACATAAATCACTGTTGATTTATGAGCACGCGCTAGATACACCAAAATGTTCTTCACTTTGTACCCCAAGCTTGAGCTTTTTTTGCCATGCACCCAACTCAGACAAGTATCCCGTTGTTGACGGCATTCAGCAGAAACAACATCAAGACGTGCTACTTCCTTTGAAAAATTCTCATCTTTTTCAAATTATCTTCAAGAAGAGAAGAAAAAGCATCGGGCAAACCTTTTGGTACAAGTTACAAAGTAAAAAACAGCACAGCGATACACCCAAAAGAGGAAAAGTCTCATTGTTTATTTATCCATCTGCTACCATTCTTGGATGGTGGCTACGATAGGTGATGAACTTTTGATTCCAACGTTAGAGCTGCGATATTTTTTTTCCAACAAAGTAGTTGTATGCAAGACGTTTGAAGGCGGATGCCAAAAAATCAAATGAAGGATGTGGTTTACACGGATGCTACAACATGTGACGTTACCATACATTAAAATTCACGGTAGAATAATTCTGAACAAAAATCTCTTGAAAATAATACAATTGAAAATCAATCGAACTTTGGACTTTTTTGGACACTTTTCGCGAACTTTAATCAATAAATTTGTTAATAAAAGGCTATGGATACTTTTATGGTGTGTAATGAGAAGTATATGAACGATATAGATTGATTGCAGAAATTGTGCGCCATATAGCTATAAAACCACAGTTGGAAATGTAAGCAGACGGGCTACTTTGGACATGTGGTTAATTTTATCTGTTTTGATAGTAAAATGACCCAAATCAATCAACATTAATAATTACATTCTTTGTTTTTTTTAATAATAATGAATAAAAAAAACATAAATATATTTTTAATAATAATGATTAAAAAAATAAATAAAGCAGTGTTTGCCTTGAAAATATTCTATTTCTACGTGTTGAAAGTACGAATTAAATGGAAGTGGTGTTTTAGTTTGGTTTTTGACATTGTAACGTCAATAGTTTCGCAGTGCTTGTTGTAAGTAGCCATCATTTGATTTAAGGGTCTAAATTTAGCAAATTTAACAAAGCGAATTTGACAGGTTTTATGTGTCAAACACTTGCCTTTCAACTTCTTCTTGTATCTAACAAGTACAAAATATCATTATAACATCTAATGAATTCAAAATTCTGAAAAGCATTTTTTTATAGCAAGTGAGTGGAAGCAAGCCTGTGCACAATTGATATGTTTGCATTGCGTTGGCGCTATTTTGACAGTTGGGTTAGCAACGTATCACTTTCCTTTGTCATTCCGTTTTTAAAAGTGATCTCGTACTGCACTGGCCTTTTAGTTTATATGGGAATTACTATGTTCACCTCGTCCTAACCATCACCAATCTAATGCATAATTTCATTAGCTACACACTAGAAAATAATTAAAATTACATGCGACGTAATATGTTACAAACGATAAAAAATAGAGCTTATAAAGAAATTGTACCCGTAATTTTACAGCTTTTGGTATGTAACTGCTTCAAAGATGCAAATCTACAAGCTGGCATGTAAGCAAACTTCCATAATATAGTTTAAATAGCTTAAACACGTTTTCTCCTGTTAATTCACATGTTTTTACATTGACAAAAAGATTACATGAAAAAGCTGAAATTCACTTCACAACACTTTTTTTGCTATGTAAAACTTTGTTTTGTGAAACAAAAACGATAATTAATATTAGTTGAGTTAATCGTGATTTCATACTTGCTACCGCTGTCGTTCAAACGCCTTTTTCACTGATGTACGATAATTTCCGATGCTATCGACATCACACAAAGCAAAGGAGCATGTGCCCCAAGTACACAGAAAACAATTCGAAATTTTAATGGTAATGTCCATGCATGTAAACTTCCTTTTCACGTAAACTAGCTACTTGCAAAAAATGTTGCCTACAAAGATGGATGGTTGCATACAATATTTGGAATATTTAATTAACTTTCTTATAAAAACACGATCTATAATGTAAACTTGTATGATACATGACGCTCCAGTAACGGAAATTTACACTACTGGTTCGAACTGTGTAACCTATAAGCCCGCTAATTCGCTACGTTCAGACTATAGCTGACATCACGCAATATAGGCTATCGTGTTACTAAAAGTCATATATATGATTTCCAGAAAAATCTTAATGTATTAGTGATTATTTCAACCTACTCATGGAAATAATATGTATAACGTTTGATATCAAGATACTCTATATCACGTAATATGGGCTGTAATGTGAACGGAGTATAAGGCTGACACACGGCTGTTTTGTACCAACCATTGGGATCCACTATGTTTACTTGCGGAATCTGTCTGTACATCACATAGTTGTAATCAGCACTGATTTCACGGATGTGATATCTTAGTGAATAACTGGCTCAAGACCGGTTGTATGCTACTTGGTATGTACCGAGTAGAGACTGACTTTATTGAGTTTTTTCGGAGGGCTTTTATACCCGTAAAAGTTATACAAAAAGGTTCTAGGCGCCACTACGAAATTTGCTTGGATGACAATAAAGCTATGCGCCGCGAAACTGCGATGCGCGCAATTAATTTACAAATATTCAAAGTGCCTGTTATTGATTCAACACATGCTGCACTAGGTCAGTATGAAATCGATTAATATGCACGCTTCATGCTGAGTAGGAAAATTAGAGTTTGTTATGTTTTATCATAACACGGCTAATACTATATTATCCGTATATCAGCTTTATATTGCAAAAAGGCGAATTACCAGGCTTGTTGATTGATAATGGTACCGTTCCTTTGCACACCTGCTCTCCTAATCGCTCCTTCCATAGCAATGTTAAATAGTAATTTCTAAAATACATGTGTCAACTCATATATGGCCACAAATCAGGTTAAAATGTAATTATGTTCATCAGCTTAATCAAAAAGTTCTCATATCAATAACATACGAGAAATGCCGGCCTCCCACCAAAACATTGTTGATCTGGAAGCAAGTGGCGTCATAAATTAGACTGATCGCCATACCTCCGGCAGCTGTGAAGTTTATATTTTCAGGTCCAATAATATTGGTACAAGTAATATCATAGTAATATACAGAGCTTTTTCAGTGTGTTGATTTATTTCCTTTTAATTCCGTTATAACTGCATTAGTGTTGAGTACTTGGTACTGATGAAGTCTGCAAGTAGTGGAAGAAATTCGCGTATTTCTCAAAAGATGAGCAATTATAACGGAATTTAAAAGAAATAAATCAACGCACTCAATAAGCTCTTCATAAACGGATGCCATTAAGAGGTTCGACAAAATTAAAAGAGCAATATACAATTCTATTTAATTTCAGATACCCTTTGACTTTCTCTATACGGACTTTAAAAACATATTCGTAAGTAGCCAACTTGCTAAATCTATCGATATTATGCTAAACAATATATTACTTCCGAACGAGTTTCTGACCTTATATTCAATGTTTAGTGCTCAGCACGGAAAACAAGATCGACGGAAAACAAACCAAGAAAAAAAACGGCCACATTTTTATACCAAAACATGCCATGTGACACCTCTTTCTTGATGGTTTTTCAATAGGCTTTAAATGTATTATAGACAACACTGACTGCTGCTGGCGGAACCTCTTGGATACCCCCGAGGGATTGATTTGTTTTCCGTACTGAGCACCAATAGAGATTGCTGACGTTTATCGTACGCACACTACGTCACGTCTACGTATACGCAAAATGTTTTCATCGGGAAAAAAAATCATAGCGGAAAATTTTCCCGATGAATACAAATCACTGACACAATCACACTTTAGCAATCTCTATGCTACCGACGCCACGGAGGCAGCTCCCACACCTGGACCCTACCTATCGACCCATCAAATCATGAACCGGGGACCGGGACCGGGGACCAAGCCTACTTCCCTTGCGAAGGAAGGCGTGATCAGAGATGTTATGCCTCAGAACATCCCGGCGGCGCCGACTGGCATTAAACCCAGGCCTGATGGGGTGAGAGATAATCACGCTTACCATGAGGGAACCTTTAGCAAGGGACAATTGAAATTCTACACCAAAACATGCGTATGTCCACGAGGAGCCTTTAGCAGAGGAAAATTGCGTTTTTACACCAAGTCATGCCGTACGACAGCCCTTTCTTCATGGTTTTTCATGAATTGCATGGCCCTTCATAGCCTTGAAAGATCATTGACCACATTGGCCTTTATGAGAATCACGGGATGCCCACGGAATAACCTGTAGTAGAAGAAAGCGTTTTTACACCAAAACATGTCGTACGACAGCTCTTTCTTCATGCACAGATAAAAATTTTGAATTTTAATTGTGATGTAAACATTCATTCACGTAAACTTGTATTTCATCTCACGCAACCGAGCAACTTGTAAACAATGTTGTTTACAAAGATGGGCTTTTGCATACAATATTTGCTACATTGCATGAAATTGTCAGAACTTTACATGATATATAATGTAAACGTATGTGATATGTGACGCTCCATTTATGTGCATTATATTGAACAGAAATTTACACTACTTTTTCGAATTGTGTGGGTTTTCACTAATCTAATCAGGCTTGCAATTGCTCATTACAGCTAAAATGCTGGTTTTCGTTATTATAAAACTATGGGATACTAAAATGATAATTTTTATTTGTAAGAAGAAAGAAGAGGTGGTCAAGTTTGTGTATGACATAAAAAATTTGTCAATTTTGCTTTCAGAAGGTCACAACTAGCGATTTTATGATCGGTGATTGCTCGCTCATCGCGTTGCTCATCGTTACAGCTAATCGCTATTGTAACCCTCTGAAAGCTAAATTGACAGGTTTTATATGTCATACACAAACTCTACCACCACTTCTTGCTTCTTACAAATAAAAATTATCATTTTAGTATCCCATAGCTTCTTTTCTTGCATCTTGTAAATAAAAATTATTATTGAAATATAGCTTCATAAATCCGAAAAATACCATTTTAGCTGTAATGAGCATTTGCAAGCATGAATTTAATGATAAAGCTACCGCAATAACGTTGAAGGAACCAGTAGTAAGGGACCATTGATGAAAAATTCATGGAAAACCATGGAAAAAGTGCTGTCGCGCTATATGTTTTGGTGTAAAATGCATTTATCAACTGCTACAGGTTCCATTTTTTCCTGCAGTTGATAAATGCATTTTTACACCAAAACATATAGCGCGACAGCTCTTTCTCCATGGTTTTCTATGAATTTTTCATCATTTTTTTTAAGTGGATATTGATGAAAAACCACGAAGAGATGGCTGTCGCACGACATGATTTGGTGTAAAACGTAATGCTCCCCTGATTTAGGTTTCCCTGGGGCATCCCTGTGGTTCCGAGAGCGGTAAATGTAGTCACTGATCCACGTAAAGCCTATAGAAAGCATATCCATGAAATACCACGAAGAAAGAGCTTTCGTAAGGCATGATTTAGTGTAAAAAAGCAATTAACCCCTGTTACATGGTTCCCCGGGGGCATCCCGGAGTTTCCGAGAGCGGCCAATGTGGTCAATGATCCATTGAAAGTTTATTTGTTTGTTTAATTTCGACAAATATGTCGTCAATCAGAGTAGACCGTTTTACAATAGTGCTGTTGCTTTACATGCTATTTTAAAACATACGTTTTATTTGAAATTGTCAATTTGGAAAGCCTATTCATAAAAAAACTATGAAGAAAGAGCTGTCGCATAACTTGTTTTTGTGTAAACTTGCAGTTGTCTGCTGCTACAGGTTCCCCTGAGGGCATCCCTGTGGTTCCGAGAGCGGTCAATGTGGTCAATGATCCATTTAAAGTCTATCGAAAGCCTATCGATGAAAAACCATGAACAAAGAGCTGTCGCAAGCTGTCCCGTAGCTTCAAGAGTGAGCAATGTTGTTTAAAGTTTATGAAAAGCCTATTCATGAAAAAATATGAAGAATGAGGTGTCGCACGGCATATTTTGTGTGAAAATGCAATTATTCCCTGCTACAGGTTCTCCCGGGGGCATCCCAAAAATTCCGAGACGGTTAATGATACAATTAAAGACTTTCGAAAGCCTATTGATTAAAAACCATTAAGAAAGAGCTGTTGGCACGGCATGCATTCAGAACTCTCCATCAGAACCGATTCCAAGAAAATGGCCATATCAGTAGATGATAAACCGATTTTAGTTTTTGGCTTGGAAAATGGTTCTTCATTCTGCGTATTTACTAAAAATACCGATTTTTAACTGGCATTAAATAGAAAACCACATCACAAATTTAGCAAGTTAGACAAGCCCACCGGAAACCGGAATGATCGATTATTTGACATCTAGAAGGGTAAAGGGAATCATTCATCAATAGTGATAGTGAGAGAAAAAGCATTTTAGGGGAAACATGTCAGAAGGGTATAACTCAAAACGTAAACAATGACTTTGAACGTCGATTTCTCTTAAATGACAACACACCCACGGAATTTGATTACACTAGCTCATAGAACAAACATTTCTCTGTCAGTATTTGTTGAGCTAAAATAAAATGAATTGGTTACAGCTTTAAGTTACGGAAAGCTAAACTAGCTTTTGACGTCTCTCTGAGGAGATCCGGAAGAGGAAAATCCAAAATTATGCCCTGCATGTCCAGTGGCCATCATAAAAGAGGCACAAATGATTAAATTACGGATTTAATAACAAGTTTAAATGTAAGCTCTGACAAAACGACATGCCACTCTGTTTTCAGGTTTGACAAAAGATTTGTAGCGATGAATTTGAACTAACAGGATTCACTTCAGGTATTTTGCACATAGTAGCACAAGTACTGATGGTCTTAAAGTGGGGATAAGAAACTTCTCACTTGAAATGGCAATGACGTGCACCTGCAGGACGGTACCTGGTCAGGATTTAAGAATTCAAGTGTATTTGTTTCATACGTTCAATAACCAACTGAAGAAGCGATAAAATCACAATGTTGTTCGCAGGAATATTGGTAAATGTTCCAACTAGAACCATAAGAAAGAAGAAAATTAAAAAAAAAATATTAATTAGGTCCAACCAAAAGACACATGTGTTTATTAAGGCAACTACACTACAGCTTTTGAAGGTTCCTGGAGTACTAGAGGATTGTTATCAAAGTAGCTTATAAACTATAATAATTGGTAACATTGGTGGATGATGTCTTATGATATTTGATTAGCTACTTGACGTGGAGAAGCATGATACTAGAAGTGGCAGTGTATTTCAAGAAAATGTTTGTGGAAAAAGAAATTCATTCATGACGATATTGGCATGGCATTAGTTACTGAAACTGTCTGTCTGAAAGAAATTTATTAAGTCAGTTTTGGTGAGACTGTGAGATGGCTAGGTTTGGCAATGATTATTACACGGGAACAAATCAAAAATCCGAAATGAGAAAAATGACTCATGATTTCATGAACATAGCGTATTTTCATGTTATGAAAATACACCATGCATAATATTCATGATATCATGAGCTATGTTTGCGTAATGCACCCAAGATTCCCGAAATCATGAATCATCCGATTAAAAACATGAACTAAATTCATGAGTTTAACTTTTAGTTTTTAAACCAAAAAAATAAAGCAACAGACTGGTTTCGAACCAAGAACCTTACGATCATTAAACCCATACTTTGACCACTAGAACTATCAGTACTTGGCAAAAGGCGTATAAGAGATACCTATGTAGTGCGGTGAACACGGTGTTACAGGTAACATGACCACGCTTCCGCTGTATTATGAAATTATGAATTTCCATAACGAAATCATGAATTTCCATAACGAAATCATGAATCATTGTTATGATTTTATGGGATGGCAAGTTTTTTGATTTCATGGTTTTTTATTCATGCAAATGGAATCGGATTTTTCCCGTGAAATGTTAGCTAAAGAGTACATTTTCAATTCGAAGTAAAAAACATGATTCATGATATTTTAAAGATCATGACAGGCTACGGATTCGCAGTATTTTTATTTGAAGCATTTCTGTTTTGACTCCCGGACATTTTAATAATCATGTTGGGAGGATTCAGGTTATTATGGTATTAGTGAACGATAGACGCACGGACGTGGTTGAGTGAAAAGTCGTGATTAACGAGGATTCGTGGAGTAACCGGCAACCCGGCAAGGTGAACGAAAGCAAATGGACGACAACACCAGGACTCTGGACTCTACAACTACCTATTGGTGCTTTAAAAACTTGATCAAGTGTCTATTAATAACGTGTTGGCGCGTATTACCCCGCCGGCGCGTGCTACACCATTTCCCACTAAATATTTTTACTTTACTATAGGCTTTATTGTGTAGAATTATAGTAGCGAAGCAAACGTATTATTGATCTGTGCACGTTGAAATCATTCATATTATTGGTCTTTTCTACTCGATGCATCGGAA